CCCCCCCCAGCTATGGGTTGGACTTCTAAATTGAGTTGTAAATGCTGATATGGCCAAAATGTGTTCTTAATTCCATCCCCAATTACAGCAGGACATCATGGAATATAGCAGAAAAAAATGCACTATAAGGATTAATTATAACAATTCTTATTATAGCAAAGAATTTTTTTTACAGTGAGAACAGTCACTGGAGCCAGGGGTGTGGTGAGTCCCCATCTCTGGGTGTTTTCAAGACACGACTGGACAGAGTGCTAGATAATGTCATCTAGGCTCCTTTCCCATGAGAGGTTGGACCAGGTGATCTTTCAAGGTCCTTCTGACTTGGGCTGTTCTATGATTCTATGGTTAATGCTTTTTATTTCCTTAGCATTACTCAGCTTAAGGTCTCAGCTTGCTTTCAGAATCTCAGGTCTCGGAAGAGCCTGAAGGCAGTTGTGCCTTATCTCCATGTTGCAGACTTCTGTTGACCAAACTCAGAACAGGATTCAGTGGAGGACAATGGATTTAACTCTGGATGTGTGTATCAGAGTATCTCTTTGTGAGGTTAGATCCTGTTCTGAGCCTGCCCAGATGAACTGCTTGAAGGTCCTTTCAGGCTATTGCAGTCTCCATCACTGGTGGTTTGAACTGGCCTCACATCTTAGCATGGCTGTCATGAAGTCAGACTAGGTCTGTGTAGACAAAGCCCTGCTTACTGGTAAATCAGAATGACGTTGATAGGGAGTAGGAATAAAGTGTCAGTCTAAGAAATTACATTTTCCCTGTACAACTAAAAAAACCTTGGATGCTTAATTCTAAGCTCACTGTGTTGTTTTTTGTATTCACAGGCAGATTTTGAAAAGGATAATTCTGGGCCAGATGCTCTCCTTGTTTATCTGTGGGACTGCTGTTACAAGCCAGTACCTAGCAGAAAAGTACCAAGTGAATACTCCAATGTTTCAAAGTTTTATCAACTATTCTTTACTGCTTCTAGTTTATACAACAATGCTGGCATTTAGGACCGGTATGTGAAATATAGAATGGGAGATTCTTGTTCATAATTTTTTTCTCTTCTACATTTTCCTTTCAGATTTTGAAACTAAATAACTCAATACTCATCCTAGTTTTTTTAAGTTCCTGCTGAAATTCCTGCTCTGTAATAACATATGGAAATGAATTTCACAGGTTAAATGTGCATTTAATTTGATTGCATTTTGTGTTTTAAAATTATGTGCTTTTTGTTTTCAAGTCTTATATTAGGGAAAATAGGCTTTGTTGTAAGAAGCTGCTTTGCCAGAAGCTGTTTAATATTCATCCTATTCCTATTAATTTACTCTTTAAACAACTCTTGTGGCTTTTCTTCCTCATGTGGAAGAATTTCTGTGCTTTTCACTATTTTCATTGTCTCCTCCCAGGCTGCATTTTGCTGTTACTGTATCTTTCTTAAAGCAGGGGCAATCAGAATCAAACATCTCAGTATTATTTATGCTTCTAAAAGCAAGATTCCTATGCAACATTTGGTTCAAAAGAACCACATATTGATTTCTGCTTTCTTCTAAACAGGTAGTGACAGCCTTTGGCAAATTTTGAAACATAGGTGGTGGAAGTATTTATTTTTGGGACTGGCTGATGTTGAAGCCAATTACATGATTGTAAAAGCCTACCAATACACAACGCTCACAAGTGTGCAGGTAAGGACCCATCTCTCTTCTTGAACTGTTGCTTTTATTACTGTTTTGGACCAGTTTATGAAATTAGATTCATAGGACAGACTTGGAAGCTATTTAAGCCTGAAAAAACTTTCCAATATCTATTTTCTCTCTACAGTACAGGGAAAAGCATCCTGCATCATGAATAACGTTTCCAGGAAGCAGAGAAAATTGGCTGGTATTAACCAGTGCCAGCTCTTGAGTTGAACTCTAATTATTTTGATAGAAAGCACTTCTAAGAGTTTGCTGACAGCCACTCAGTTTTTTCTCCTGACACAAAATAAAGATTTATGACTCGCTCAGCACAGGTTCTTGCTAATTGGAGTGAGACAGGTCTCTTGCCTAGTCCTAGAAGCTGTGGAAGGCATTATGAGATGTATCCCCACATGTGAGGACATACTGATAGTTAGCTGGTGTTGCTGAGAGTGAGAGACCAGCCTTGTGGCTTTTATATGTAGCACTTCGGTTCAGGCCCCTCTGTGGAAGAGATGGAAGTGAAGTCAGCGTGCCAGGCTCCTGAAGTGACAGTCAGCATCCTCTGCAATGCCAGTACTTGGTGCTGTGTCACTACACTAGGAAAAATCTTGTGTTCTGAAATACCTCTAAGAGCAGGAGGGCTGAGGCTGGGGTTTCTTTGTTACCCTCCACAGACATAAGCTGCTGGAAGAGTGCCTTCCTCCTGCCTCCAGCTGCATGCTCCTGAGCTTGCACAGCCAAATCCCTTGGGCAGACAGGCTCAGGGTGCTGAGCAAAGACAGAATAAACGCTGTCTTTTGCTGAACTACTGTTGAGCCATGTCAGGCCCACGTTAGCTCCATGTATGGCTCCACAGCTGCTGCTGGAGCAAGGGAGGGGAAGGTGCAGAAGCCAGGAAGGAGTGTGTCCAGGGCTGTGCCAGCCTATGCCTGCTCGTAGCAATGGTGGATCTGTGGCTGGGGTCATGGCCCCACTTACCTGAATAAAAAAAATAATGTACCATACAGAATTGGCTGTTAGTTGGAAAGGAGTATTTAGGTGTTAGTGTTCTACAGTGTTGAAGTAATAAGGGTTAATATTTAAAAGAGTTACCTGTAAAGCAATAAACTTCTGTGGTCTGGGCTCCTTTTAGAGATGCAGTAACTTTTATTTGTGCTACTGAAGACCAGTAACATGTGCCTGTTATACTATTATTGTCACATTTCCACTTCATACTTACATGTTATGACTCATTAGGCCTTTAATTTCCTTATAAATAATGCCTAAGAAACCAGAGATTTGAGTGACAGGTTTCAGTCTCAAGGTCAAGCTGATGATTGAGACACTGTTGGATTGTATACTTTACAGCTGAAGAAGCCAGGACTTTGATCCAAGTTCTCAGAAGTAGTAAAACTATTCCCATGATTTTTTTTGTATAAGTTGAGGAAGAATAAAGCAGGTTGTCCTGTCTGGTTGCCAGCCTCAAGCATTTTCTGAACCTTTTTCCATTGTGGTAACCTTCAGACCGATGCTACTTTGTGTCTGTTCAGTAATTGTGCATTTCTTGTCATTGCCATAAGGTTTCTTGCACATTCTCTGAAGTCACCAGTTTCTCACCACTATCAAAAATGAGATACAGGACAAAAACCAAGCCTGTGATTTTTCTCTAGCATGACACATTTGCTAACTGTCAGTAGCAAACAGTTCTGCAGCTACATCAGAACCTGTGTTTCAGAGCTTCCAGCCTCGTGGCCTGTCTGCAGTACTGGCTCCGAGTGGATGCCCAGGGAGCAAAAATGCCATGCAGGAGTATGTGGCATCTTCCTGAGTACAGAGTAATCACTGTTAAAATGTTGGCTGGCTGGAGCTTCAGCTCAGCCCTATGAAACTTATCTTCAAAGATAGGTTTTGTCAGCTCAGCAAGGAACTTCCATGAATTTTCTCACACATGCACACAAAAGCAGAACTGATTTTCCTTTACTTATCAGCATTGCACAGAAGTGGTTGGGAGATTTTGGAGGAGATAACATTAGGATGGCAGCTCTCATTTCTTTGTAAATAAAGGAAAAGACTTTGGTCTAGAACTGAACTCTTTGTTTGGCTGTGGCTGGCACGCCAGGGAGACTTCTTGCTGCCGGTATCCTGTCTTGTGGCAGAATTTGACTGTGCTGCTGTTGGACCACTTATTAGCAGCAAAAACGCAGCAGCATAGCTGTGGTTTCATGTTCTTAGCATGTTATTTGGTGCAATTAGCATTTGTTCTGTAAATAATTTGCTCGGAGGCATTTTATAGGCAGCTATTGACAATACCTGCTGATAGAAGATTGTTAACTCCAACAAATACAGGAAAATACAGGATGAGCCCCTGGGACTCAGTTGGAGGCTGCCCTAAGGCAGCCTTGTGGGGAAGTGAGCAGGATGAGCTGTTGAGCTTTCTTGCTCACAGAGCTGTCTGGAGCTGGCAATTATAAGCACACCAATGACCTCCAACAGTCTATGATAATTTATTAGCCATGTATTAAAACATCTATTAATAATTTACTCAGCCTGCATTTAAACCCCTATAAACAGTGTGGCCAGAGCCTGGCTTGAGTCAAAACATTTGTAAATCAAATCACCAGGCTATCTGGTTTTTCCCTTTTTAAAATACAGACTAGAATTGAATGAGAGTTTGCTGAGGCTCTACTGGCAATAGTAATCAGTATTACAGTACTGCTGTAAATGTCATCAAACCGGAATAAATAAACTGTGTTCTTTTAAATGGTTCCATTGACACAATTTATTGTGATATTACATCTGCTTTGCACCTCTTTGATCTTGAGCATTTTTCACCAAAGAGCTCTAATGTAGTAGTTGAAGGGAAGGCAAGGTCCGGTAGTTGGAAATCAGATTTATTCTTTCTGTAATTGAGGGTAATTGTCCCCTGGAACAGATTACCAGCGTGTGTTCTTCATCATTTGGTGCCTGTGTGTCCTGGCTGCCTGTCCTCTAACCAGGATGCTGTACCTCTACACTATGTTCTTGGTCTCAATGCAGCAATTTCCCATCCAACATTACTGAAAGAGCTTCTGGCTCATTATGTACTACTCCCTTACATCCTAGTTAAGAAATTTTTTTTAAAGGTTTTTTTCTTACGCTCTTTCTGGTTGGGTTGAAAAATTGCTTGGAGGTTGTACATGGAAAAATCTCAATTAATGGGGAAGGGAAAACTTACTTATTAGTAGAAGAGTTGTCTACTACCAACTGAGGGGGTAAAAATTTTGCTTTCTAATGTTTGTAATACTTCTTGTTGTTTGATACTAGTCAAAACAGTCAAATTTGGAGGAAATATTAGAAGGTCTTTCTTGATCCTAGACTAAATGTAAGATAGAGAAAATGGCTTGTGACTAAATAGAAACTTACAGCATGGTATTTTTCAGTAGAGCAAAACTATTGAAATACGTGGTGTCACATATTAGGGTGTGTGTAATATCTCATCATACAACCCATGCAAGTGCTTTTGCACTTTACAAACAGACTTTACAAACTGGACAAGCTGGAGGCAATCCAAGGAGTGAGTACAAATAGATGGAAAGATTAGAGGCATTGTTAGGATTTAATCTGTACTAACTCCCCTTAATACTATGCTTGTTAGACTTTAATACGTGTAGTTATGAACAAGTTAAACTAGACGTATTGTGAAAGTCTTGCAAGTTTGGTTAAAACTCTTGGGGATGATGACTGAACTAATAGAAGCCAGCACAGAAGATGACTGCAGTGGTGCACTTAGGCAGGCAGAGGTTGGCAATGAACATTAAGGACTAAGGGCTCTTACTTTGATTGTAATGATTATGCCCCAGTCCTATTGACCTGGACCTAATACTTTGTAGGGACTTCAAGACATCAAGTTTTAAGAGCTGGCATTTGAAAGTAATTTGTGAGCAGTTTTTGGAAGGCTGACTGTATGTTCTGCTGTGGACTGTACCCTTATATAGTTTCATGGCATTCTACTGAGGCAGGACAGAGACCTTTTTTTTTTTTTTTTTCTTCTCCAGACAAATTCAGAAAGTCTGTTGTTGAATTAAATATTAAACCAATGTTCTTGGTACTATTTGGTTATTGTAGAACATTATGCCCATTTTATGCTGCACTGTATTTTTCTGTATTAAGTACACAGTGAACTCTTAATATTTTCTGTAATAAAGGAGAATGGGTAGAAAATAGGTGGGTCTAACAGCAAGGCAAAGATCGTAGGATTTTAGGAACAGAGAGAGGATAATAAAGAAAGCAAAGAGAAGTCAGTGTCACAGCTTGTCATGGAGTGCAGACATCCTTGAACCATAGCTGTTCAGCCTGCTTCGAACAGTATCTGCAAACACATCTGAAGTGCTCTGCAACTCCAGCTGCCATGTGTGTGTCTGCTGCTGGGGCATGGGTGAATTAGAGTGGGTTACTTGCTTCTGACTAACTGAGAGACACCTCTGACAGAGTAATGAAAGCACAGTGGTGACTTGTACGTGCTTTTGTGGGAAGCTGGAAGATTGGGAAGGTGACTTTAGGAAAGCTCTTCTTCCCTTCTTATCTTCCTTCTACCAGTTTTGCACATGGCTTCCAGCACATGTACCAATTGAGTTTTTTTAGTAGGATCCAGTTGCAGGAAATAAAAACCTAAATGAAAACTGTAGGGTCAGATTGTTGTCCTAGTCACTTCAGTGTAAAATCAAATCACTTGTATCCTTTGATACTTCCAGATTGTTGTGTACATGAAGCCCTGAATTCTAATTACAGATAGAGAAGGAGTGAAATGACAAGCTAGACAAAACCTGCTTATGGAGGAAAGGAAATGATGGTGAACCACCTCCTTATATTGGTGTCATGGAGAACAACATGGTTTCAGAGCAACATCCTAGCATTCATTTGTGAAGCTGTAAACATTGCTTAGATCCATCCTTAGAAGAAGTTCTAGATCAGTGCCTTTCTACCAGGAGAGAGTGGACCCCTGCCCCAGCTCCTCCTTTGCAAAGCTTTAATGGTAAAATGTAGGTCTGACCCTTCTTTTAAATTAATCCACTGGCGTTGCTTTGCAGCTTTCATTAACATCTGATAGTGAGAGAAAGTAAGATCCTGTACATTTGCTTTCAGGAATAGTGCAATCCAGATTTGGGGTGAGTTTCTAATTCAAACCATTTCTCTGTATACACAGCTGCTGGACTGTTTTGGGATTCCTGTACTGATGGCTTTGTCGTGGTTCATTCTCCGTGCAAGATACAGGCTGATCCATTTTCTTGCTGTTGCCATCTGTTTGCTGGGTGTAGGAACAATGGTGGGTGCAGACATTTTGGCAGGGAGGCAGGAGAATGAAGGTAAGGAGCCCTTTATTGTGGGGGGGTAAGAGCAGAGAGGTGGTTCCCATGGTGGGCTAACTTGTAAAGGAGAAAGAGGAGCAAATTCAGGGGGAGTGGATATAGTTTTATTTTAAGAGAAGAGGATAAGGCATGCTGCTATTTATATTTCTTGTCCAAGAAGATGGTGGCTGAGATGCTGATTTTTGTAGGGAGCCGTGGAATTTCTTTGCTTGTAGTCTTGGATTATTTCTTCCACCTTAAAAAAGAAATACTTGTGTTAAGCTTAAATTTTGCTACTGTTCATCAGATCTGATGAAAGGCCTCATTCTTGAAAGCTTGTTCACTTTTACTAGTGTGAGATGGTCTAATAAAAGATGCTGTCTCTTCCTTCAGACCTTATCTTGCTTACACGCTGTCAGCCTGCAGGCAGCCAGACTTCTCTGATTTGGAGTTTTGTATGAGCACAAATAGCAAATAAGTTACTCAACAGCAGCTGAGTTCTCTGAGTTATCTTTGGCAGACCCGATAGAAATGGTCCACATATCCCTGTGGCCCATAAGTCACAGCCTGGAAAGCAGGGGTTTACAATGGAAGATCAAGAGGAGATGTGGGCAGGATGCCACGATTCCTGGGACCTCCTGGAGGGAGGCTGGGCTCTGGGGACCAGGATCCAGCTGGGTGCAGATAAGGGCAAGTCTCATCTTCTCTATGACAGATCCTTAAGTCAACCCATATCATAGTGATGTTATTTTGTGTAAGAATTTTGAGTTTTCAGAGCCAGAGGGCATGAGGCAAGGTAAATTGCAGGGCATTGCCTTTATCTGGCAGCACAGACATAAGCCTGTTTGGCATTATTTTGGGGCCTTACTGTAGGTAAGACATAAAGACAAACTGAGGTTTAGCGTTAATGCTATGTGGTACAAGTATCTCAGTCCTAAGGGAGAAAAATCTTCTTTCCCTGAGACTTTAAGACAGTTGTGCTTTATTCGCTGACATGGGTATCCTTACCACTGCTTAACCTCTTACTTCAGACATATTTTCTTAGTAATTGCCAACTGGCTCAGGGAAGAAAATTTTAAATCAATTCAAGGATTTAAACAACAGCAATCCTCTTGCTTTTTAGCTGATGCATAATGGATTTTACTTGATGAGTGGCTGTATCATGGGGAGTCCCATTTACCCAGTATAAATAGATTGCAGCAGGACACATGATACCACCCATCTTCAGTGCCCACTTAAGACCTGTCATAAACCTGAAGCCGAGTTCAGGTCTTGCTGAAATCAATAGACTGATTTTAGCAAGACTTGAATCAGGCCTTACTGCAAAAGCAACAGCAGTATTCAAAGGCGGAGAGCATCTGTAACTGGGAATTTTCTCAAGTCCCTACAGTGCCAAAGGTCAGCAGAAGTAGAGTTGGACCAGACTATACAGCAGTGGCTTGGGCAGGATGAGATTTAAATGCTCATTCCAGACTCTGCAGGGTGAGGTGAGTGGGTAGCAGAGTCAGTGGTCAGACACCAAGCCACCCATCTTTACACACAGGAGATGTTTCCTTTCCCCTTACCCTGGAAGACACTAGGAAGATAGAGGTGTTAGAGATAACTTTGTTTGTCTTTTTAAGGAAAGTTTAAAAGTGTTTGCAGCATTGCCCTTATTGTGGATTAATATTTCTGTACAGGTAGTGACGTGGTGATTGGAGATGTCTTAGTGCTTCTTGGTGCTTCTTTGTATGCCATTTCTAATGTGAGTGAGGAATACATTGTGAAAAATCTGAGCAGAGTGGAGTTTCTAGGAATGGTGGGCTTGTTTGGGACTATTATCAGCGGTCTACAGCTGTAAGGATCTAATATTTATTTTAAAACTAATAATATTCTACAGATGATTGCTTGTCTACTATGAAATGATGTTGTTACTAAATTAATTCTTTGTTATGCCTGCATTTGGCCTATATGGGAGTCCTTCCACTTGTATTTTATTTTTGTTGTTGATCAGCATCTGTTTTATATCCTTTTAATTTGCACTACTCTTGTTACAGCAATTCTAAAGCTGAAATCCTGCAATTGAGCATGTACGATACTTGACTATTTTTGATTTTGTTGATCTTCATGAGGACACTCAGTATGCTAGGACTGTTCACAGGAGTGTATTTCTCAATGGATTTTCTCTGTGGAAAAGTTTAGGAGATAATCATTAGCAGGAGGTCTTCCATGTTAAACTTCAGTTTAAAATGAAGCCATGTATACTCTTATAAATCACCATGTTTGAGTAACAGACCACATGCACTTAAGTCTATCTAATGAATTTTATGTTCCTCATTTCTCATCATTATAGTTAATAATTTCCTCAAATGGTATATCAGATAAAACTGAATCTCTGAAGGATGGAAAACCCTGGGAAGAAGGCACAAGGACTAAATAAAAATGCTCTTGACTTTAATTTTCAAGTCGTCTTTCATGCTTGTTAGATGTTGGGAGTTAGTGTCATTCAATAAGATTTCAAACAAAAAATAAAGGGATTATAAATCAAAATGTTTCTTATATATTCTAGTAATTAAATTCTGTATTTGAATATGACTTTTTTCTTTTTTACTGTATTATATCTTCTCTCTAACTCTAGAGCCATTGTGGAACATAGAGAGTTAATGAGAATTCCGTGGAACTGGAAAATTGGTATGTGTATGACAATATGATGTGCATTTTTACAGAACACTTAATTATTTTTTTTTTTGTATAATAAACAGCATTCTTATCATCACAAATTTCATTTTATGTAAACTTTGGAGCTCAGCAAAGAGATAAGGTTTGTGGGATTGAACATTAAAACTTTGAGCTCAGGTTTTTCATTTCACATACAACATGAAATAATTCCTCAAAACAAATTGAAATATAAAAATGAAGCCTGTTTCATTGCAGATGTGTTTGGTCTTGGAACATCACAAGAATGTTTTTTTGTTGTCCTTCCTAAATGAAATAATGGAAAAAAATTGATTTTATGACACATTTTGATCTCAGTAGAAATGTATGTTAAGAAACATGGCTCTGAATTTCTTCAGTCAGCTCTTACAAGAACTTTCTTGTGTAGATACAGTAATTTTTGCAATGCAGGGTAGTCTTGGAAAAGAAGTATTTCTTCCATGTTTTTCATAAATTTACTTATCCTAAAAGATAAAATGTAGTTTTAAAGCATCTGAAGAGTATTGGTGTTCTTTAAAATCATTATTCTGTGCCTTAGGAGTAAATTGTGGTCTGTTTTACAGCATTACTGTTCACAGTCTTTGCCCTGTGTATGTTTGGGCTGTATAGCTTCATGCCAGTAGTGATTGAAGTTACCAGCGCAACCTCGGTCAACCTGGGTATTCTGACTGCGGATCTCTACAGTCTGTTCTTTGGACTTTTCCTCTTTTACTGTAAGGTAAAGTACCTTAATTCTTTCACTATAATTTAGTTACATTTTTACTCAAAAATTATAAATAAAGCATTGTGTTCTTAAAAGACCCTGAACGGTTGTTTGTACTTGTACATTTCTACAGCTTGTATCGTTCATTGTTGGCAGATACCAATCAGGAGAGGTCATACTTGGTTAATTATATAGAATTGCACTAATAGACAGATAGTGATTTTCTAACAGTTTCACACTTGATGGAATACATTAGAGTTAAGAGATAGTAAATAATATCCTGAGGTGCTCAAAGGTGGAGTTCTTCCCGTAAGCCTTATGTGGAACTGTGTGTTAGATTTGGTTCATCTCTCCAAGAGTCCAAAGAGAGAGGGGTATGAATCTCCCTATCCTGAAAGGCATTTGGTGTCTGAGGGGAGCAGTTCATCTTGATTTCCAGAAAGAAATATTTTCTTTTAGAAATTTAATCTGTTCATTACCAGCATCCTGGGATAACAACTAAGCACTCTCAGTGCTACTGCTAAAGAGAGACTAAAGAAACTGAAAAAAATACAGAGAAATATATTATTCTCTGTGCTCTCCAAAGGGCAGTTACTTTTATTGTGCTCTAAAATATTTTTGGTAGTGTCTATTCAAGCTGAATGACAGTGCTAAAAAGATTTCATTCCACCCTACACTTTTCATCCAGAATCATTTGTGGGAACCGAGCTTGTTACAGCAATTGAAGCACTTGAGTCAGTGCTCGCTCAGTGACTGGAAAGGCTTAGTGAGAAGCTTGTGAACTTTGCTGAACAACTTAATTTGTATTATTCCATGTGGTTGCTTTCTCTTCAGCATTATGGAGAGCCAGCAGCTCTTTAGTCAGATTTGTTTCTGAAAATGAAGACCAATTTATTTTGCAGTATGGAGGTAATAATTATGGCTGGTAATGGTAGGGTCTGACAGCAGCTAGATTTTCCTTTTCAAGAGTCTCTTAGCTCAGCTTTCCTCCCTGTTTTGGGTTCCAAAATTTGCTCCAAGCTACAAAGCATCCATTAGAAATGAATGCAAGAAGTGAACCATGCTTACATTTTAACAATTAAAAAAAATCCTGTCACTTTCAAACATGTCTTTTGGCACCCAGATAGTTTAACTCGAGGTGATTATAAATTTATGTCATAACAGTAAGGAGGAAGAAGCAAGAGCTTTGGAAGGGATATAATGAACTTGTGTTCTTCAGGATTTTTAGCTTATTTTGGGGAAGGGGTTTTTTTGGGAGCAGATCATCTCATAATTACTAACTGCGAGGTATACTGATAGCAAAAATGAAAAATGAATTAGAAAAGACTTTGGGGTTGTATTATGAGAGAATTTCAGATATTTATTAAAATAAGAACTTGCATCTGTGGTTAGAACAGTGAAGTAGCAAAAAGGGGAGCAATAGTAATCCCACATCTTCAGTAATCAGAGAATCTGAGGTAGCTTAGGAACTGAGAGCCTGATTTTTGACATGGCTTTTAACGTAATACATATCAGTAGAAAATCTTAGTGCCAAGCTAACAATATAGTTTCTTTACCTATGGGGTAAAGAAACCAGACAGGACATTTCCTAGATTAAAAAGCACTGTGGACACAGGAGTCTACAAACAAAAATGCAAGGAATTGCTCTGTATTCCCCATTATCAGATGATATTTCACAAGCTGCTGAAGGACTGGCTGTGCTGCTGTGTGGAGTGAGCACAGAGACCTCTGAATGGTGGTGGCCTGCGACTGAAACAGAAGCAGCATGGGCCCAGGATTTTATGAGGTTTTGACTTGTGTATGGTGTTTTGCTAATGTACTCAACTTTTCAGCCCCAACAGTGTCTGTTTAAAGTAAAATGTGAATTTTGCATACCTGTTTAGATAAGCTCTTTTTGTTTTACTCCATGATGAATCTTTGCTGTGCTTGTTGCTGATGAGCTCATGTAGATACCTGTAATCCCTCAAGAGATATTAAAAAAGGTCTCTAAATGCTTTTGTTGAATAAACTCCTATGGAAGGGAGTATACTGCAAATACAGACACTAGATGGAGTTACAGTCCTCCAGTCCTCCAGTAACTTTTAAAGTAGTCTTTAGGCTTGATAGCGAGGATGAAGATATAAACTGGACAGGTATGACTGAAATCAGTTTCTGAAGCAATGACGTTGCTACAGTATTTGAAAAGAAAAAACAAAAACACAAAACAAACAAACAAACAAACAAAAACCCCAAAAAACCCCAACCCAAAAAACACCACCTCAGGATAAGACCACTGAGCTCTCCCCAAAAATGAAAGGGGAGGGGGGGAAGAAGAGCATAGGCCTGTTGGAGCAGCATGATTAAGGTTCAGCTCAGTGAATAGCTGCAAACAGGGAGGCACGCCTTGAATCACAGCTACATTGCAACAGTTTTAGCATCCCAGTGTGGCAACTGTGTATCCACTCACAGAGGAATTGATTCTGAGCAGGATCCAAGATACTTATGCCTTGGGGATGGGTCAGTCAAGGGTGCGACTGGACTGTAGATCCTCAGACCTTTTTGGATTGGAGTCCGCTGCCCAGGTCCTAACATTCATTTCTGCTGCTTGATAAACTGGAACATATATTTCAATCTAAGGAAGCTAAGTAGTTTAGGGAATATTGACAGTGGGATGTAGAATGTGCTATGTCCTTCATCCTACTGTTTAATCAGTGTGGTTTGGCAAAGGCAGTATGGAGGATTTTAACAAATTTATTGAAAAAGTGTTCCTGGCTGTGGTTAACTTGAACACTTTGTATCAAATCTGGTCTTAGAAGTAAGTATTAATTTTTCTGTTAATGTGGATGAATCTTGGCAATTGTTGGTCTTTTAACAGGCAAATGAACAACAGTGATTCAAATGCGGAATGTACCTCAGCAGTTCATACTCTCACCTCACACCACTCTTAACAGAGCACAAATGCTGATCTTGTAAAAGGAGCCTCAGTTTCCCTCTCTTCAAGGACTTGTTGGGTATAGAGAGCAAACCAGCGTTGGTCCAGTAATAGTAATTATCTAGTCCTGCAGATGGTTGAGAGCTGTGCAAAGAACCAGCTGTTCTTGGTGACTTGCAGTAGCACGGAGAGATTCATCTCTTGCCAAGACCTGAAATACTAGGCTGTGATGAAACAAAATTCTTTTAGGGGTACGGTGTTTCAGCACTTCACGTGTGCAAACAGCTCTCCTTCAGTATCACCATGTCTACAGCCATTTGTTCTCTGTTAAGATTCTTGTATGTAGACCTAAGGAAGCTCCCGGTCCAACAGTGTTGAGGATGAGATGCAGTGAAAACCAGCCAGCAGCTTGAGTCTGTCAGTGAATGGAGTTGTTGAATTTTGATTTTCAGACCTGAATACAGGTCGTGGTGATAATCCTCATGAAAATAATTTCTAAAAGGAAGGATAGCTTTCACATTCTTAAAACAAGGCAGCATTGACATGTTTTTACATCAGACAAGACTTAATGTGTCTCTTTCTTTTGTCTGCCAGTTTTCAGGTCTTTATATCCTGTCCTTCGTTATCATCATGGTGGGCTTCATCTTGTATTGCTCCACTCCAACTCGGACAGCAGAACCCACCGCCTTGCCACAGCCTGGCAGCACTGGCTTGGACAACGCAGCACTAAAGCTCGAGGAGAATGACAGTGAAACTCCAGCCATAACTGTACAGTTCACAAGAGGAGAAACTGTGGTGGTCAGCACTGATTAAAGAAATGGCAGCATTTCAAAATAGAGATTGGGTTTTTTTCTGCCAAATTTCCCTCAAATACTAATCTGGAGAACTGTTCTACTGCCAAGGCATATGTCATGCTGCACCGGTTTTAATGCACTGGATAGACTTCTAAGGCCAGATCCTCAATCAGTGAAACTGTATTGATTTACCCTTGCAGAAAAATCTGTCTGTTAGAAGAAGACAGAGTTGTATTTATGTGGAGTCTCTGCAAAGTGAGAGACTCTTATTTTTAAATGCTTAATTAACTTAACAGCAAATGCTTGGAGGAAAAACTAAGCCAAAGCAAGTTCCCAGGTCACTAAGTAGAGCAAATACGTTTTATATTGCATTAGGGACCTAAATCTGCAAGCTGATATCTGAGGGCTTTGTGTTCCCACGCCTCAGTGCCAGGTACCCTCAGGTAGCATCTTCTAAGAGTCACTCAGCTTCTTGCAGGATCTAGTTCTGCAAGCTGTATTACATGCATACACGTTCCATGTGCTGGTGGACTTCTTTCCTCTACTGGAGGATTTGCTTCTTACATTCCACCCAGATGTTCATCTCTTCATATTGCTGCACTCCCTGTCACAGCTGGGGATATTGCAAGTATTTTATTTTTAACTTTGCTAGTAAGGGAAGTTTCAATATATGTTTTTATAATCCTTTCTCTCCGAGTCCTGTTGTTTGGTGTATTCCCACTAGGTGGAGGAGGCAAAGTCAGGCCTGAATGTTTTGGGTTTTTTTCTGGATGAGACAGCAAAAGGGCTTAAACTGAAATGGGACACATTTCTGCAGAAAGCTTTGAGTAAAATTGGCATTTCTTAAAAAACATTGAAGCATCTTAGCCAATCCTCATTGCAACAGTAACGACATAATCTCTAAAAGGATAGGTACTTTCAGTAGATTCATTGACAGTTTTCCTCCCCCTCTTCATATTTACAATAAATGATTAAAAACCCACAAGGCTGCAGTTTTAACACCAGTAAAACCATACCAGGATTTTATTTTATTTTTTGTACAAACTTTCATAGCTCAGATGTATGAAGTAAGAAAAGAATGACGTTTTCAGCAGCTGAAGAGTTGGCACTTGGTTTATTTTCTTAAGCTAGAATTTCTTTATTTCTCAAAACTCTATTAACTTTACTGACCAAATAATTATTTTAATGGCTGAATTTTGCCATAAGAACTAAATATGGTATTTTCTGAAGATACTGGTGATTAAATGACACAGACTGGTTTTGTGTGCTTCTGGTGTAGTTTATTCAAACAAAATTATTCAGCAAAAATCTTACCTGATTTTACTTAGCAGTAGCAAAACAAACATTCAGCAGATATTGCAGCAACAAATGTTGCCTTTTCACTGAATAGTTCATTCATGGAAAGGTAAAGAGGTGCTGATGTTTTATGAAAAGCATTTGGGCCTGGTTATCTTTTGCTTTACCACTGGAGTAGGATACAGTCATGGATTAAGACACCTAAACTGGTGCATCTGTAAACATCTATAATCTAAAGCTGAACAAGCAGTTGGAGACCAGGTGGGGTAAGGAAGTCTGATGGCAGTAGATAATCTAAGAGAGGCTATTTGGATATGTTGTAGTTCTCCATACCAAATTTTAGTTGCATGTTACCTGGAGGTAAGTCCCACCCATTGTTATTTGTGTGATTTAGTTAACTACATGCAGTAACAAAGCAAACAGCAAACCTATAGGTCTGTAGGTGAATGTTCCAGAACTCTGCACCTGTTGGTACATCATGGGATTCCACTCCTAAATGTAGCTAGCTATGTATTTTGTGCAAAAAAAGTTGCTGAGGTCCTGTCTGAAGTGCCTCTCTGAGGGGCATGATTCAGTTGCCTCAGTGTCTGAGACAGCCTATGGTGTCTGTGGCATCTCTAGGGGCTGGCACATAGGACCCAGGGTCTAGAGGAATTCTATAACCTGGAGCAGATTGTGGAGGCCACATGAGATGCCCTAGGGTCTCTGAAATGGCACTGCAGGCTATGGTTGAGACACTCAACACACTTCCTTGATGACTGTGTGGGGCCATATGTTATTACTTTAGATGCTGAACCTTTGCACGGCTAAAATTGGGTGAGATGAATCCCAGATGAAGCAGCATGTTCTTTCTGTGGTCGCTGGGTGGCATTTCAGCATCTCTGTGGTGGTTGCTAAAACAGCTATGTATGTCTAGTGGTTGAGAGAGTGCTTTGGTGTGCCTGCAAGACCCGTGTGCAGTGTGGCATGAAAATTGGTCTCATTTTATTCCCCCCAGGAAAAAAACAGGGCCCTTTGCACAGATAATGACTGTGAATTGCTGTGCAATGAAAAGAGAGCACAAGGCAGCAGCTGGAGTTACAATAGAAGTACAATGAAAAATGTGGTCAATCCAAGGCTGGTGTCAGTGGGTGAAAGCATTACCTTGGCAAATGGAAAAAATAGAGAAGTTAGCTCCTATGTTCACAGCATCCCTTCTGATAGTTCCCATCGAGAAAAAAGGGTGAGGTTTATTCCTTTGTGCCAAAAGAAGGAATAAAAGGGGACACTTGGCCTACCATCTTGCTAATGTTGTAGCAACTCCACCAGAGGATGATGCTTGGCTGGTGTCCCTTAGTGCTGCCACGAACAGGAGGGGACATGGCAGCTTTCCCAGGGAAATGCTCGAGGTTTGCATTAGCACCAAGTAACACAAGCTCTTACACCACAATTGGGGCAGACCAGGTGCGGTGAGGTGTTTGCAGTGGTGTGGGTCTAGGGTGACCTGTGCCTGGACAAGGGAAGAGGTGACAGCTTGAAAGGCATTTGGAAGGGGCAGAACAAATGCTGAAGGCAGGGACCCGAGTCAACGAGCAACTGAAAGAAACAGCTAAAAAGAGAAGCCAACCCATGGCTTCCATCCATGAGTTGAGCTGTTCTGAGGAGAAACTGCTGATGTGAGTAGGAAGTTTTGGGGAAATCCTGCTTATTGATGAAGAAGGCACCGAGTCCTGTTGTCCTGAAAATGGTGGATCTTTTGCTTCCTGCCAGGGACCCTCTAGCTGCCATGCTTGCCTATACCTGCTCTCCTGTGGACCTGAGCATCACTCCCCAGCATTGAGTGGAGCACACAAACCCAGCATGCTGCCCCTGCCCCTCTCACAGGGAGTACAGGGGTGTTTTTGCAGTTATCTTTGGAGATATTACCTAACTCAAGAACACTTTTTAGTGAGAATTCTATATAAGAGTTAGAAATCATGTTTGCTTGTTTGGGATGTTTTTGACCCCACTTGCTGGTCTTTTTCTCATTGCTGAGTTATGGTGGGGTTGCTTCACTCATTTCAAATGAGCCATGAATTAAATGGAAGAACACGTATTGGAAAACATGAGGAGAACTTACAAGCTTTACTGTGCTAAAAAATAAAAGCGCATCTGGTTGAAATGCTAATCTACAATATTGCTTTGATTGGGCAATAATCTTGCTAAATTCGATAACCACTAGCTGTTGCCTATTTGTCTGGGGGCAGAAAATGCTATGGCTGTCCGGACTTGAGGAATGGCAGTTATCCCACCTTACAAATCTGAATTAAAATAAGGATTAGATCTTTATGTGTTAATAAATAGTGTATCCTTGGCAATGTTTTCTGGGAATTTGTAGATATTTTATTTAGGGGTTACATTTTTGAAGGATTGTGGAAAGAAATTGATTGCCCCTTGGATCTTGTAGGTGATTATTGCATGAACAGTTTGCTGAAGGTTTTGTGCTCCTTAAACCCATCAGCATCAACAGGCTATGTTTGAAGTATAGTAACTCTTCATTGCCACAGAATCAAGGGGGAAACACCTGCATTTGGTTATTGAAATCTGTATGCCATTAAATTTGTAGTGCAAACACAAAAATGTTTTAATTAGGTGGTTATCCTATACTGTCACTATGATAGCATAAAGATCATACTTGTGGAAGTGTACTGTGTTATATTTCTAAATATGGTGTTATAACCAGGCTTGTATTCAATTTAATTTTAATTTGGATACTCAGTCCCCTCCCACGTAAAGTGCTCCCTTTGAGGGGGGATGGTTTATATTTTATTCTCTATAATTAGTGGCATCATCAGTGGTAACATAATGTAGGTTTTATCTGAAAGTACACAGAGGTGTATTGACAAGACTTTGGCTGGTCTTCAAGACACAGGACCATCTTGTGGTGTGGTGTGAGCGTGCCGACAATAGCTAATCTTCTCAATATATAGACCACTGAAATAAAAATTGTGTAAAACGTATGACATCACAAGCACAACCCATTAACAATGAATTTGTTATTCCAAGGCTTTTAAGCTATGACAATAATAGTAGATTGTAACCTGATTTGAGCAAACTGGGCTGGACAGGACTTCTGCTGAGCTGCAAGGAGAGGGGAGCAGTGTGGGGCAGCATGCCATCTCAGGTTCACATCACTTACACTTATCACACATAAATAATTTGGCAAACTTACATTCCAAACGGAAAACTTTAAAACTGTTTCACAGATACAGGCTGTGATTTAACTTCATACAATGTGGTTTAACTCCATACACTGTGGTTTAACTTCATACAAAAGATTTTCATGCCACACTGTGGGTAGCTAATTTTAAAATGTGTATTATTCCAGACCGAGGAAGGTCTGGAAGGTTCTTCAAGCTTTCCGCAAGGACAAGGTTGACCTTTTTTGTCAGTCTTTCTGTTAGTGACCCCATGCCTTTGCCATCTCTGTGCTGCAAAGCTCTCATTTCTCTCCTTGTGACCCTGCTGGATATGGGGGGCTCCTCTGGCAGCCCGGGAGAGTGGCCAGCCATGGGCTGGTGGTTGTGCGCACCTGGTGTCCTACCCTTCTTCACCCTAAATTCCTACTCTTCTTCTTGTGCAGCAGCTACCTGGGTGAAGAGGAGGCAAAGCTGACTTGCAGAAGAGCTCTGCATCACAAACTGATCTAGGCTCTAGACAGAAGAGGTACTGGAAGCCTGGCCTTGTGAAGTCCTAAGCACAGGGTGCTGGTCCTCTGAACCTGCTCTGTGTGGGATGGGGGCCAGATATACCACCCCTACTCACGGTCTGTCCTCTGAACCGGAAGGAAGTAGGTGCAGATTCTTCAAGAAAAATGCATTGCTTCAGAGCACAAGTAACACATGTATTGCTCCCAGGGAAACAAATGTTTGGTTAATGAATTGCATATGGCAGATCATCTGGTACCTCTGAGACAAGGTGCACAGATAAGTCTTTAGCATACATCTTTTTAACATTGGAATAAGCTGGAGAAAAAAATCTAGCTGTCACTTGCATTAAACCCAAGTATCCAAAGAAAAATGTGTGACATCCAGCCTCCTTCCAAAGTTCGATTACAAGGCATCATAATGTCATGGTGTGTTGGAAAAAGAAAAAAAATAGTGCAGCAGTAACTGAGTGGTGACATTATCTGTGGTAGAGTTTGAGGGAGAGGATGAACTTTTGGACATCAGCTATTTTAAGATTTTTGACCTTTCCTAAGTCACACATACTCAGTTCTATATGATGTCATGTCTGGGACAAGCGTATCAGCTCTTGTCAACACCATTCATTCACATTTTATGTATTGTGGAATATTTCATTGTGTTATACATATCTGTCTTGTAAATGTCTCAATCAATTTAGGAAGTTTGGCAGAGGCACTGCACAAGCTACATAATCTATCATGAACAATTTTGAGCAAACAGACAGAGATTCCTGAAGATGCAAAGTGCAGTCTTTCACCAAAATAC